GTCGGGCATTACCACCGAGTTTCACTACTCCAACCCACCACCACAACTGGATCTCATTACTATCACAATCACTACCACCATCAATACCAAATCTCGCTAATTTTGACCCACCACCTTCGTCAATATTTACCGCCAACACCACCATGCTTGAACCACCGTCATCAACACCAATACCACGGTTACCGCCTCTTATCCTCTTTCTCCAATTGCACTTATTTCTCCACCTTCTTTAGCTCCTCCGACATCGGACCGAGCCTTACGACAACAACTCTAGTCTATGTCCATCGCCGTTCATAATTCTTAATTTTTCTCCACTATCATATATTTCTTGGATCTGAATATCACATGTTATTTTTAGAAAACCATTATGATTCAAAGTTTTTTTTTATAAATGACATGATATATTTTCAACAAATGATGAATGAATATAATTTTTACATGATTCATGTTAATTTTTAAAATTACCCTATAAGCACTTTCGTAACCATCAACCACCACCATCGCCACCTCCATAACAATCACATACTACTTTTTTTTTTTTTGTATGACATGTTATTTTATTAAATTCTTGTTAGATGTCTCTCTTTCGTCTCAAAATTCCAGTATTGATAATCTTTATTTTTAGATTGCGTTTTATTAGTATTTATTTCATGTTTTTTTTCTCCAAATTACAATATGCTGTCGTATGTTTGTCTTTTGGTTGAAAGCCATTTTTAAATTTCACATCTCTGAAAAATGTTAGTTTCCAAAGCTTTTTCACTCATGTTTATTGCTTTAATTATTTTTGAGTAAAATGTTAGTTACTAATATTATCCTAAAAATAATTTATGACAGAAAAAAAAAGTTTTACCAATAGAAAAGTTAAAGCAATGGTTGTGTTTCTGAAGAAATAAGTTTGCTTGGTGAAAAATATGAAACAATCTATTTGTTTATCATTTTTCTTATACGATTAATAAATGATTGTATAATTTTTTAAATCTTTTTTCTATATTTAAATCTTTATATTGTACAGTTAGTATCTTATAAATAAAAATTTTAGAATAATTTTATAATTTCTTCTTTTTTTGGAAAATATACATATTATTTTCTTATATACATATATTTTTCTTTTTATATTTTTAAGTTTTTAAAAACAAAACTTTTGTTTACTATATGGCAAAATCTCTTATGGAAATATAGGTATAATTTCCTTATAGTTATCTTTTTACATTTTAAAACTTTTTAAATTTACAATTTTTTTTAAATAGTTTTTTTTAATAAATATTTTTTACATTTTTATGTTATTTAAATTTATAATTACGTACAATATCTTTTTTTTTATTTTAAAAAGGAAATTTTTGTTTAACACGTGTCAAAATCTAAGATCGGTAGATTTGACACGTGTCACGATCCTATGAGTTATTAATTTTGAAAACCATACTTTATATAATAAGATATATATGTTGTAGTATCTTTTAAAAATAAAAAATTCCAAAAAATGGGAAACCAAAGGAAATAATAAAAGAAATGTCTTGTCAAACGTAACTCCATCAATTTTCTAACACCACCTAGAAGAATGAATAATGAGCAAAATCGTCCGATCATGTATCTTCCTGCCAGAAGAATGTGGTATTTTTAAAAAGTTTCTCAAAAACTGGTAGTTTAAGAAAGGAGCTCACACACTTGTGGTAGAATCAACTAAAAATCCCTATGTAATATTTTTTTCAACCTAAAAAGCTCGGATATCAGACGTTCAAAAGTAAATAAATGGGATTTTTGGGCTTTTTTCATTAACTAAAATTTAAAAGAAAATTTTTTAAAAATTAAATTTGCTATAACTTCTAAAATAAATATATTTTAGAATGTATTAGAAAATGCTTATTCTTTGCAAAGCACAAAAAAAGTTACAAACTTCTCCAATTTGTCTATCTTTATGCTAAGTTCATTTATGTAGTTTTTGAAAAAATGTGAGAAATTTCAAACGAATGTCATATTCCAATCCAACTCATACGTTAGAAAAATTAAGTAACGTGTATTTCACTTCATGATTAGACATCAACTTCACTCTATCTTTATGCTAAGTTCATTTATATAGTTTCAGAAAAAATGTGAAAATTTCAAACGAATGTGATATTCCAATCCAACTCATACGTTAGAAAAATTAACTAACGTGTATTTTAGAATGTGATATTCCAATCCAACTCATACGTTAGAAAAATTTCAAACTTCATGGTTAGACATCAACTTCGCACTTAGGCATAATATTTTTCTTGTCTTGAATACAATGACTTCAGCCAGCTCTAACTTTTTGTAAATCAAGTTGTGTGACTTGTCCTTATTTATACCAAGATTTTTGTCTCTTTCCTTAAACAAATTGTATCCTCTTAAAAGCTTTCAAGACGACCATGTCGGGATCGTTTCTGCGTTTGCATTTTCTCTCGCTACTCTTACTTTGTTGTCTCTCCCGTTCAAGCTGCGTTGTTATAAAGAAGCTTGTTGCTTGTCGTCCCCATGAGATTCGATCTTTTATGCAGTTCAAGAACGAGTTTGATACTCGTGGTTGCAACCATAGTGACTACTCTAATGGTGTCTGGTGCGACAACTCGACGGGTGTGATCACGAAGCTACAACTCAGGGCCTGTCTAAGTGGAACTCTAAAGCCCAATAGTAGCCTCTTTGGACTACATCATCTTCGTTACCTTAGTCTCGATTACAATAACTTCACCTCCTCTTCACTCCCTCCGGAGTTTGGCAATCTCAACAAATTAGAGGTTTTATCTCTTTCCTCTAATGGCTTCCTCGGCCAAGTTCCTTCCTCATTTAGTAACCTTAGCATGCTTTCCTTTTTAGGCCTTTTCAATAACGAGCTCACTGGCAGTTTCCCATTTTTGGGGAATCTAACCAAGCTCACAGTTTTAGAGCTTTCTCATAATCACTTTTTCGGAACTCTAAAACCCAATAGTAGCCTCTTTGAGTTGCACGAGCTCCGTCAACTTAGTCTCGCCTATAACAACTTCAGTTCTGAACTCCCTTCCTAATTTGGCAATCTCAACAAATTAGAGGGACTTGCCCTTTCCTCTAATGGCTTCTTCGGTCAAGTTCCTCCCACATTTAGTAACCTATCTTGGTTAACCGAGTTGTACCTAAACCAAAACAGGCTCTATGGTAGTTTCCCACTAGTACAAAATCTAACCAAGCTCTCCCTTCTAAATTTTCATGGTAATTGCTTCAGTGGAACCATTCATTTTTCTCTCTTCACTATGCCTTTCTTGTCAAATCTTGATCTGAGTGAAAACTATCTCTCTGGTTCTATTAAATTGTATAATTCCTCTACATCATCTAGCCTCGAGTCCATGTACCTTGGGAATAACAATTTTGAAGGAAAAATCCTAGGATTTACAACAACTTAACCGGTTTAATTCCTTGGGAATTAAACCTTTCTTTCATAAACACAAGTTACCCAATTGACGTAAGCCTCTTCTCATCACTCAAATCTTTGTTGTACCTTGATCTTTCCGGCAATAGTTTAAGTTCAAATTCAGACATCCCACCGAACTTGGAGATCTTGTTCTTGTCAAGATCCGGCATCAATGAGTTCCCAAACATCATAAAGATCCTTCAGAAGTTGGAGCATATAGACATATCTGGAAATGGAATCAAAGGAAAACTTCCAGAGTAGTTATGGAATCTTCCTCATCTGAGCTCAGTGTTGATTACAAATAATTCGTTTAGTGGGTTCGAAGGTTCAACAGAAGTTTTGGTAAATTCATCAGTGAAGTATTTAGATATGCAGCTAAACGATTTTGAAGGAGCAATTCCTATTCTACCACTCTCTATCAACATCTTGGCTGCACGGGGCAATAGATACACATGGAGCATACCTCTTCCAATATGCAATTGTAGGTCTCTCACACATCTGTCGCTATCTTACAATAACTTAACCGGTTTAATTCCTCAATGTTTGAGTAACTTGACAGTTGTTGATCTCCGCAAGAATAACTTGGAAGGAAGTATTCCTGATACTTTCTATACATGTGACTCTCTACGTACACTTAATGTTGGCTACAATCGACTAACCGGGAAGCTTCCAAGATCTTTTCTTAATTGTCTCGCTCTAGACTTTCTAAGCGTTGACCACAACACAATTGAAGACATATTTCCTTTATGGCTCAAGGCTTTACCAAATTTGCAAGTCCTTATTCTTAGTTCAAACCATTTCCATGGTCCTTTATCTTCTCCTCATCATGGTCCTCTTGGATTTCCTGAGTTGCGGATATTTGAGATATCTAATAATAAGTTCACTGGAAGCTTGCCACCAAGTTATTTTGTGAATTGGAAAGCATCATCACTCACGATGAATGAAGATGGGGGCTTATACATGGAATATGGGGAAATTCCTTACAGTGCACTTATCTATACCTATATCAACTTTATAGATTTGCAATACAAAGGTCTATCTATGGAGCACGAGATGGTCCTTACTTCCTATGCCACAATTGATTTTTCTGGGAATAGACTTGAAGGACAGATTCCTGAATCTATTGGCCTTTTAAAGGCACTGATTGCACTCAATTTATCCAACAACGCCTTCACAGGCCATATTCCTATTCCTCTGTCTTTGCCCAGTATGGGCAAGCTGGAATCACTAGACCTATCAAGCAACCAACTCTCAGGGACTATTCCTAATGGACTAGGGGTAACGCGACTTAGTGGAGTCGAACTCCGGTGGGGAAAGCAGAGTCAAATGGACTTAACCACTTGACTAAAGGCACATCCCCACAACCAAGGGTAATTGTTGCTCGCATATATGCAGAATATACAACAGTTACATAGTTAATTTATTAATTGATGGACTAGACCTATCAAGCAACCAACTTTCATGGACTATTCCTAAAGGACTAGGGGTAACGCGACTTAGTGGAGTCGAACTCCGGTGGGGAAAGCAGAGTCAAATGGACTTAACCACTTGACTAAATGCACATCCCCACAACCAAGGGTAATTGTTGCTCGCATATATTCAGAATATACAACAGTTACATAGTTAATTTATTAATTGATTAATTATTACATTAAAACAACATCGAGTCTCTAAACTTTACAAGGAACAACATACACACTCTGAGTCTAGCAAAGAGAAATGTGAAGTGATGAACGGATCAACAACTTGTAGATTCACCATAGATATAGTCGAGTACCGCGATAACTCCAAAAACAAAAGCTTTATCCACACTTGGTTTTATCACCACCTTATATATGTCTCTGCTACCAATCCATTCTTTTACTTGAGCAATGACATTTCCGGTGGAATCAATGATGCCACAATCCCTATCCGGGAAATATCCTTTAACATCAAAGTAGCAATTCCCCGGTTGGACCGAGATGCGGATTGAACCGATTATGGAGAAGCAAGAGTGTTTAGGATCCCTCAATGAGAAAACCGGTTTAGGACTCCCTTGGTAGTCGTAACTATAACCTTTCCACTTGTTATGAATGCTCAAAGCCTGCACCATTCCTCCCTGCACCAATCAACACATAATTCTATAAACCAATCAAATAAACTTTTTCTCCTCTAAAAGGAATCTATATATTAAAAGGGTTGCTTTCTCTTGACGCATTATATAAAGTAAATCATTATTCACTAGTCTGTTAACAATTATTTCACCTTTTAGAAAAAGCTTATTATTAGCATGGGAGATTTATCCTCAAATTTTTAGAATAAACTTAATACTATCAATCATAAGTTGCTATATAATCAATATTAATTATCATGGATAAAATGTTGAAAGTTTACCATACAAGATTCGGAATAATGATGAGATGGTTGGGATAAAAAAAAAAAAAAAAAAAAAGATAAAGATACCTTTTTGTTGATGAGAAGCAAATCGTTGCCATCACCATCTCTGAGAACTAACTCTCCTTTGGTACCAAGAACTCCACAACCGTCGATCTTGAAAACGATATTTTCTTTGCAATCTGTCACCACGAAGCCACCGCCGTTAACCACGTGTGGCCGCCGTCTCACCACCATCACCTCCTCCATCGAGGAACAATGCAACTTGCTCACCACTGCTTTCATTTTCTTTCTACTACCAAACTAAACTCTTGTATCTTTCTTATATATATAAATATTCTTATGGCGGTATGGGTTACTTTTTTTTATTTAGTTTCTTGACTCTAAAGAAAGCAAAAAGAAGAAGAATTGGTCCACTAGTTGGTCACTTTTTTCAAATGTTTGGCGATGTACGTTTTGACTTTATCTTTTTAAGCACCACGTCTCAACATTGTTTCTTTCTTTTTTGGTATTTAGTCTCAAAATAATACTTAATATTATAATATTTTCAATGTATGCTGCAAATCTGTTAAACCTTATTATTTTCCAGTAAAAGAAGCAAATCGTGTAGGAGAATAAAAAATCATAGTGTTTCTTGTGACACAGAAATTCCGAATCTAAAATTTGAAGTTCATTGGTATATAGGAAAAAAAGACAAAATATTCCATGTGGCAAATGTGAAAAGTTTAGTAACATGCAAATTCGTGTGGGAGATAGATTACTTGTGAAGGCGGAGGACAATTGTGTGCAAGTCAAAATCCCCTTTTCCTTTTTTCGTTTTTGATTCTCTCTTACCCATTTCTATATAATTAGATTACTTTCATAGTATAATATAAATCCCTCAATGTTTTCAGCCACAAAATAATTATCCATAAATGTAATGTTTTAAAACGTTTTATATTTTCTGTTTACACTCAAGATATTATATATGAGTGTAATGTGTATGTACTTCTTAATAACATTTTCTTATTAATGTAGATGCCAATATGACTTCAATTAAAACCCTAATATTTTGTTTAAGTGGTTCACATAAAAGTTAATGCTTGTTTGGGTCGAAAAGGTCATTAACATAAAAGTTCAAAGATGCGTTAGTTGTTAATTTGACTTTTCATGGACTTCAATAATAAGAAACTTTGAAAATTATTAAAGAAGATAACAAATTTAATCTTTAACAACAAAAAAAAAAAAGGATAACAAATTTAATCATTGGAGTGGCAATAACGGACCCATAAATATTTTCTTAGTAGATGCAAAAATATTAAAATTTTAAAGACTAACTTTTAAAACTCTAGACTTACCATTTTGCTAATAAATCACCAATCACAAAATTAATATTTTGCATCTCATACCACACGAGATTACATATTGCTGAGATGGTACAGTCAGTTGTTTCTCAACAACAGTGGATACCCGAAATTCATATATCATCGAAGTTTGGCATTTCTACCTTCTTAAAAGCACATATATAAGTTTGTATCGTGATGAGATTCAACTGAAAGGTGCTGCTTCGTATCAGTACTTTTGGTTTTGGATGCTACAGAGCTCCTTTTATTAGAAGCCAACACCAATTGCTTGAGAGTTTCATGTGTATCATCCACTTTGGAATTCAAACTCATCAATTTTTTTAGTCATAAACCTCGTGGTTCATATATCTAACTTCTCCATCATGGTTCATAGTAGTTATCTTTAAGTTATTAGTCTTTCGGTTACCAAATTAAAACTAAAACACTTATTCTAATAGTATAAAACTGAATAGAGTAAAAAATCCCAAGAAACTATGTTATTTTCTTCGGCCTAACCATATACAGTAGAAATTTTCAAAGCACTCTCTAACACAAATGAGTCTCACAAATGAAACTATACCGAGCCGACTGGCTACCACTTTAATGGCTGTAATTCACTACAGGAAAATCGAGCATTAATAGCAACAGAAAAACGCTATGTAAAGATACAATAGCGTTATAGAAAACGCTATGTCATCGCCCGCGATAATAGGTCTATCACTTTAGATAGCGTTTTTCCGCTTTGCTATCGTTTATGAGTAAATAATAGCGCTTTTATCTATGCAATTGTTATTAATACAATAGCAAATATATTTTGCTATAACTATTTTATCAATAGCATGTTTTGTAACTTTTTTATAGCAGTCTGTATATATGTTATAATTCTTGTATTATCTATAGCAATTATATTTTCTACAATAACGGTGAAAATATGCCATTGATTCATGTATGGTACAAAAAATTAATTTTAAAATCTGTGATTTACCAGATTAGTGTTTTTATCCAATTTATTTATATTAAAATATTTGAATCATTTTCATTATCTTTTTAGGAAACAAATAACTATGTTAATTATATATTTGTAATTAAAAAAAAAATCAGAATACAAAACAATTCTACTACCGAAACTTCTCTTCTTATATACCCAATAGGCCTATGAGCCCATGTCGAACAAAAAACAAAAAATAAAAACACAATGCAACTCTCGAACTTCTTCTTCTTCTTCAATAATCAAGCTTCCTCGTTTACCAAAGTAGCTACAAAAATCAACCAAACACAAATAAGAACATCAACATCCAGGACTAATGGACAACGTGTTCCATCATGGAACAAAAAATGAAACTTTTTTTTGGTTCGAGTCAATACCCATACACGAACAGCAATGTGTATCTTTATCTCGTTCGGTCGCTATAGATCTCCACATGCTGAATAGATTGAATAAAACATAAAATCAATTCCAGATAAATAAATTTCAAAGAGAGGTTGTGAACACAAAATTTAAAATGCAAAGAAATTACCGTGATGGAAGAAAAGAGCCAGCGTCTCCATCTCTCTCGTTGTAGATTTCCTATATCTTCAGTAACAAATCACTACTACTTAAAAAATACAGAAATCAAGAGTGTTATAGAGTTTTCAAAAAAAAAGCTTAATAGAATCCCTTAAAAGCTTTGACATAATCTGAGAGAAAGGTGAGTTAATTCGGTTTCCCACCGTTTGCTTTCTTCATCGTGAGAGAGAGGAAGATTGGAGTTGAGCCGGTTCTTTTGTCATCGGGAAAGGTAAGGGACAGAAGTAATTAAGGGAATATGGAGAGGTTAAGGAAATGACAGAGAGATTAAAAGAAAGAACATAATAATTACGGAAACTCGTAATTAAGGGAAGAAGGGTGAGATGAAAACCAAATAATTTGATCCTGTGGTGAGAGAATACGCCACGTCAGCTATCCGAGTGATCTCTTCCCATTGGTTTTCGTCTTATATCTTTTTTTCTTATGCAATTTTAACCACTTTTTCTTAATTTAAAATGTTTTAAAATGAAATTATGAAATGGAAAATGTGTTTTAATAATGATATTATGATCATAATATTTTTTCTAAGAAAGATTTAATTTTGGAGTTAAAACGATTTAAAATTAAAACCATAAAGCATAATATAAACTATTGATGAAAGAATACTTACAACAAACCTATTTTTATAACTAATTATATGTGTAATATTATATTTATTTCTATTGTATCTTATTATTATTATACAATGATTTTTTAATTGCATTTTATTTTGTTAATTTATAAATAATCAAATATGTTTGAAGATTGATCTCTAAACCCTATACCCTATACCCTAAAGTTTAGGGTATAGGGTTTAGGGTTCAAGAAACATATTTCACTATTTTTTAATTAACAGAAATAAAATGCACAAAAACATTAAAAACTTTTCTCTAAAATTTTATTTACAAATTATGAACCTATGAGACATTTATATAATTTTATTTTTTGATTATATGGTACATTAGTTTATTGTTTATTCGATTGTTACTTGTATATATATTTTTTTAATGTTGTCTTCCTTATTTGTAGTTTAAAATATGTGTTAACTTATGTACTTATGTATTAGCACCGTCATTGAAAATTTCTTGTTGAATTAAAACCATGATAAATTTCTTGTGGAATTAAAACCATGATCCGAATAATTATTAGTGAATGGGTTCGAAATCCAAAACAGTCTCTGACTCAGACGAACAAGAGTTTGTAGTTTGGCCAAGTCACTATTACATCGTATATGCATGTTATTTTCATAAATGGGTAGACTTTTAGCTCTCTTTTTCTCGGGGATTAATAATACTTATGATGTTTTGTTTTTTCGGTTATACAAAATAGAATACTATTGAAATCAATAAATTTGGAGTTCAGGTTGTGATTAGAGAGAGTTGGTCCTTTTTTTCCAGATCAATTCGGATCTAATCCTACTTTTGATTCATGTTAGACTATGGATTTATTACTTGTTTCTTATTTGGATGTTCACCGGTGGTTCTCCTGGCCTTCAACCAATCAACCCATGGCCATCCATAATCGTTTTTGTGGTTGGTGCTATGGTTAGGGCGGCTTCTTTTAAGCTTCCTCCACTCGAATCAACCTTCAGATCTGGGTGAGATCTGATGTTTCTTGGCTCCTTCAAACCGGATCCAGTCGATTGAATATCGACATCACCGGCCCAAACAGCTTTTGATGGTTTTAATGTCTTCTATTGAGGTTCCGTCTTGCCGATCTTAGGTAGCCCAAGATCTCTCACTTTCGAAGTCTCCAAATAATTAAGAGAGGACTATATGACCAGAAGTTTAGTTTTGAAGATGTCAGAACCAGCTTCCGATCTCAGAATTTAACTGGTAAATTGAAGAAGTAAGAAGCAACGTGATAATATTTGTAGTTTTGTTAGAATTGGTCTTGTATCCTGATTATTCGGAAGGTTGTTCTCTGTTAATCAGGCTTTTTTTCCGGAAGTTTTCCATAAACTTGCCGGCTTTGCGTCCGGAGAGGCTTTGGCCTTTGTCGGCTTTGTGTCCGGAGGGGCTTCGGCCCTTGTCAGCTTTGCGTCCGGAGGGGCTTCGGCCCTTGTCGGCTTTGTATCCGGAAGGTGTCGATTTGAACCTTGCCGGCTTTGTGTAATTTCCATTTTCAGTTCAATAAAAGTTTCAATGTTTAGTGAAAAAAAAAAAAAAGATTAGAGAGAGTTGAGGTAGGAGAAGATAATGGAATAAGTTGAACGGTTTCTTCGCGACAAGCTTCCCAAAATTGTTGCTCTACTCTTAGTTTCCTTAGCTCTAACCAACCTCGTTCCACTAGAAAGAGAACAAGTTTTAGCCTTAATGTGATCTTAGAATCAGATATAGGAGACAGAAAGGGAAAATTCAATTGATCAAGTTTATTACCGTCAACAACGTCATGAGAAGTTGAATTTTTCCCTCACTAAGGCTGATCCAAAACTGCAGACATTCCTCTGCAATATCTTCTTCCACACCATACAACTTGGCTCTACCCGAGAAATACATAAGCCATGCCTGCATAAAGAACCAAATAACATCAGTTCATCTAGATACAACGCGATCAATTTACTTACAAACCACATTATATCAAATCGTTTACTATCTCTTATAAATGTCACAGTATAACCTTTATAGTTACGAATTATAGGCATAAAGAAACAACCTGCTTTAAGGCAACATCTTCTTGTTCTCCTTCTTTAGCTCTGAATTTAAGAAATGTGATAGCATAGTAAGAATTTCATCAAGCTTGATCATGCAGATATGATATTATGTGCATATATGAATGATCATGGACTCTCTTCTCTTACCGTATGTCTCTACAAATCTGAGCTCTCCATGCTTTTTGGAAAAAGAGAAAAAAGACTATCAATCTCTATGACTAGTAAAAACAGATTATATATGTCATTGTATACAAATTGATGATATAGGCCCTGTTCTTATGTGACTGCGACTCTAAAAGACCAAAACGAGTTTAATGACGTTGGGGACGGAGTCAAATTGTGTAGCTGTGACGGTTACAGTGATCGCTTAACACATGAAAAGTGTCGCTGAAATTTGCAGCGACTATGAAAGATGTCACGGACGACACCATCGTCCACTTTTAGCAACTGTTTTAGCTATATTTAACTCCGCCAAAGACTATTTCCTCTGTTGCAGTCGCGGTCGCAGCGACTTGCACAAGAACAGGGTCATAATATACATACCTTGACAAATTATACTAGGTGTTCTCTTCTTTACGAATGCAAGCATAACAGCATCCTCAACCAAAATTTCAATGTGGTATAAGAGGTTAGAAATATCCTTGGAGATTGCAAGAGGAACCTCATGATTATAAATGAAGTAAGATAGGTGATATTACTTAGACTTAAATTTGGACATAAGATTAGAGATACGTTTAAAGACACTAGCTCTCTCAAACCAATGCCTTGTCCATATATATCACAACAATACAACCACAGCCCTACCACCGAGTATACAATTTGTAATAAAGAGTTCAAAGGATCAAACACTCAAATAACAAAGACAGTCGACTCACATCAACACAAACGAGAAATTAAGTAAACATACAAAGAGTAAGAAAAAACAAGCGGCATCAACAATAATCATGAAGATTTGAAGACTATCGACAAACGCTTAAAATCAAAATTCCAAATTGATTATTGACCAAACTTAAAATCGAAATCACACATATCTTAGTTCTTCTAAGTGCGAAATTCAGCTACAAGAACAGTCAAATACATATCAATTAAACCATACCGATTCGACTTACCGATGTAGATGAGGGAAATTAATAGGGAACAAGACTGTGATGGATAACGATTAAAATAAGACTGAAATTGAGAGGGAAGGAAATGGAGACCGATGGAGAACGAGACTGAAAGCAAGAGGAACGGGACAGTGATTGAGAGATCGAGACAGAGATGGAGGAACGAGTTTGAGCGAGTGAGAGATCGAGACATGGATGAAGGATCGAGAGTTGCCGGAAAGAAAAAAAAATAAAGAGACAGAGTTGCAGGGCCGGCGCAGAGGTCAAGCCACCGAAGCCACCGATTAGGGTCTCAAAATTTGAGGGCTTTTTTACTTAAAAATTTGTTAAGTTTTCTTATATACAATAATTTTTGTAGGGCCTTTTAAAAATATTGTGGACTTTTAGAGACAACTATAACAATTTTTTAATAGTAAAAATCTAATTTAAAAGAATTTTTTTTATAGACTTTAATTTTGATTAGGGCACCCAAATTTACCGGGCCGGCACTGCAGAGTTGATGAATGTGAAAAAGAAACAGACGGGAACCCTAATTTTTGACCACAACATTTTGATATATCCCAATTTTTTAGTTAGGCGGGATTCAAATTTTTTTTTTTCACGGTTAAGATACCATAGCATTTAAATTTTGTACATGCTATTACAATGAAATGGATAGCCAAATTCTTAAGCGCGAACCACATAATTTTTGCCGCCCAATATATTATAGCGTTTTACATTTCACAAACGCTATGAAAGAAAGAGCCAATAATCAACTATAGCATAACCATCTAAACCGCTATCTTGATCTGCTATTAATACCCGCTTTTCCTGTAGTGATTTTTAAATGCATGTGACTATGATGGCTGTCATTTTTTATTATAATGTTACAAACCAAAAACGTTATCTTTAATCTATATTTTTATTAAAACATAAAATACAAAATTTTAAAATATAAAATGAACATCTTTATATAATAAGTCACAAATCAATTCATAAAAAACTGCAACCTTCTCTTTCTGACATGTGTCTTAAGTCTCAAATTTTAGTCTTTCACTTTTTTTTTTCTAAACGTAAACCTAATTATTCAAAAAGCAAAAGAAAAAAAAATATTAGAAAAATGATGATCAATCGTTTTTTCAACTGCTTCGTTCCCATGATCTCAAAATGCTCCACTTCGCCTCTCTTCTTCAATAATAAGAGCAACAACATGATTTTCTACAAAAAAAAAGCCTCCACATCTCTTTCTTTTTCTATCAGATAAAAAAAAATTGAATTTGTCGTTCCATGTTTAAATTTGAGGGTTATCATCAATCACATGTATCTTCGTCTTTGCAATTTACAATTTGTTTTCACATTTCTCGAATCTGGCTTATTTTGTTAATCGCCGTTTTTATAATCATCAAATTCTCTATTTCTCAGTTTGTTCCCGTCTTAAATGATTGATTTTACTTTTGGATTTGCAGGTTTATGTTCAAGATGTTCCTGATTACGCCGTCGTTTTTTGAATCGAAATTCGTTCCGACAACTTTCAGACAGAAATCTATCACCCCAAACAGATGTTCTTATCTACAGGTACTTGAATATCAATTAGTACCAAATAATGTGAAGCTTATTTATGACCCGAAGTGAATTACTCTGCTCTAACCTTAGATAGCAGAGCCTCCTTTTGATTTATGATCTATACAGTTTCATCCAATTCTATTTTCTTTTATTGTCAAACCAATAGTTGGTTTGTTCAACTCTATAAAGATCTATTGCTGTTACCATCCTGTCTATTAGTATGATGCTAAGATGTTAAGAGTTTAAAACTTAGCAAAGTAACAAACAACAGATATATCCATTCTCGACGTTTTTTTTGTTGTGTTCAAATAAATTGCAAGTTTTAATTGTGGTGGTACATGTAGTAATATGAAGGTTGAAAAACATTAATAAGAGCGTAACTTTTGTCTGCATTTTAGACTTTGTTTAAAACACACAACTTTTGTCTACGTGTATACTTTGTTTTGCAGAGAAAACTCTTTCTACAAGTGATGTTTGCTTGGAAAAAATGATTTATAATAACTCATCCGTTTATATTTTCATTGATGTTTTGTTTCAGGATTACAAGAAATGCCAAAATTTTTATAGCAGATCAAGATGCATTTAACAACTCAAAACATAGCCTCAGTAAGAGCTTAACTACAGTGAATTCATAAACTTTGTATTTAATTGGTGGTGCCATGCTTCAAACTCAAGAACACAACACCATGGCCACGACGATGAACTATACTGACCAAAACACCACCAATTATCTGCACTCCTAAACTCTTCACGCTCTCTCAAGAACAAACCCACATTTTAAGGTATACATTAAAATTGATTTTCATTTTGTTAATATAACAACATGTGACAGAGATTTATCTTTTAAGATTGAAGTGGTAAAGAAAAAAATTAGTTGGTTTATCTGTAAGTTTGATTAAAGTTTTGCCCGTACGTAGTACGGGCTTAATACTAGTTAACTAATATGTATGAGAACCACCTAAAAGACTAACGTTTTCCACGACAGATAATTCTCTACGTGCCTAATTAGGGGTACCTTATCTCTATTTCAGATGATAACTTCCTAAAAGTCCAACCGTTCTACCTTCTGTACATTTAGAGACCGACCGGTAGCGATAATTACTTTTAGTAGTAGAGACTTTAACTTTAAAAAAATTATTAAAGAGAATTTGACTGTAAAAATTTTAGATGTAGAAACTTTGGCTTTGAATGGTAACCCATTATTAAAATGGTACATGGTTTACAACTTTGACAGTTACCGAACACAAAAGTTTTATCAAAAACATTACTAACAGTTTTACTCTCAGCTTTTTTTGTGCAGTTTTTTTTGTACAACTCTTTCCTACAGTTTTGCACTATTCCGATAAAGCTTACAACTCCAACTAACATCTAAAAAATTTGTACAGCTTTTGGTTACCAATCAGACCCTTTGACTGTTAAAATCTGATTGGTAACACAAAGCTATCAAGCTGTATAAGATGTGATTGTTATTTTATTATTATATATTAATAATAAATATAAATTATGTTAGAATTGAATTATTAATGGAAATTTTTATAAAAAATCTATATATACATTTTTGGATGACTTTTAGCAAATAAATCCTAGGGTTGGACAGTATTTACAAAGAATGTCATTGGCATTTATTATTAATTTTACAAAATTTAAATAAAAGATATTAACCAAACAATATCTTGCCTAATTTGTTTCTAAAAATATTTACACAATCTTTCTATATATCTTCAAAAAAATTTATAGCAAATATTTATATTAACATTTTGCATAGCAATAAAAATACTATTTTATAATAATCAAAATATTCACATAGAAAAATCAAATACACATACAGGAAAAGAACTATATCTATCATCATTTAAGCCGTTGTTTTATTTAAATAAAAAAAAACAGAAAAAACTTGAAATCATATACTTTATTTGATAAATTTAAAATATATATTAGTAGTATAAATTTAAAATCGTTCAAATAACGGTATACTACGGGTGAGATCCTAAAATTATTAGATTTTATAACAATAATAATTTATTTTCTTGGATTTTATAATATTAATAATTTAGCTAACGAGATAATATAGACGGGTTTATATGGGATGACGGGTTTGGGTCGATATTAATAAATAACGGTATATCACGGATGAAATCCTAAAATTAACAATCTATATATACATTTTTGGATGACTTTTAGCAAATAAATCATGGAGTTGGAATGTATTTACAAACAATGCCATTGGAGTTAATTCTTAAGATTTAAAAAAATTAATTAAAGATATTATTCTAAAGATCGTTCCTCAAATCTCCTCCAACTAATTACTTTAAAAATCTCGATAATAACTATTCCGTGATTTACTGTAATCTTCAAATATATTTGGTATGATTTCTCATAATTAAAGATCCATCATTAATTGCAATAATAAATAAAAACAATAATTTCCTTTTATTTTAAAAACTTTCTAACGACAAATGTATTGCAAAATAAATAATTTCCTAAAACAATTACAGAACCTAATAACTGTTGTAGACTTTTTAGGAAAATAATTACGTAAATATATAACTTAAAGATAACAATTACTCATCAAATCTTTTTTTTTTGTTAATATTGTATCATAACAAGACCTAAATCAATGGACTACTTATTCTCTATATATAAGTGAGGTTATTTAGTCATCAAAGCAATGTGCATGGTTCCACTCTCGCCGTCCCTCAGCTCTGCAAATCATTTGCTTCATTTTCTACATGTCTTGGACTAAGGTTCTTCCTATTCTTCTTTGATTTGAATCACTTACATCTCTTTTTTTTTTTGATAAATCACTCACTTTCATCTTTCTATGGCTTTATGTTTGATAGCCTCACGTTGAATTGAGGAGCTTCCCAGTGTATTCGGAAACTGGTCCTTCTACGTTACCTTAATCTACATGTTTTTGTGTTTGGACAAATGAGGAAATGATTCTGATTTTTATTGTTTTGGTATATTGGTTCATGTTTGAGTGTGAAAATATTTGCAGGGTTAACCATAATCCGTTGTAGCTTCTTAATATTGATTTGGAGATGCTCTTAGTATTGATTTGAAAATTTTCTTTGGTTTGTTTACTAAAAAATATTTAGTGGTTTACCATCAAATGAAAAAATCATGTGATAAAATAACCTTTATAGATTAATCTATATTTATCAATTTTTTGAGTAAATCATTTTCTAAATATATTTATTTTAATGTAGATTAGTTAAATTATGGTTACTATTCGTTATTTGACAAACTCATTTGGCTATATTACTTATTTTAAACCAAACTCATTTTGGCAATAAATAATGTTTATTTATAAATTAGATTAACCCCCAAAAAATTATTACCAAATATATAAAGATTATTTATGTCTAAAGAATAATATGTTGCTTTAGATTATTATTATTTATAAGGTTTCAAATATTATAAATATTTTAACCTTATAAGAAGTATAAATTAATAATATTTAAAGTATCTATAATATTTAATTCCATAAAAAGTTTATAATATTAATAATATTTGAACACTATAAAAATTATAAATATTTATACTATGGAACCACTTAAAAGCAAACTTTTAAATTGACTCGAATTATATGTTTTCTAAACAAATGTGTTATTAAAAAAAATGATGTTTAATTTCACGGGACGGGGTTATATGGTGGGACTGGTTTAGATCGATAATAATACCGGAAGATATACCACGGGTTAAAATCCTAGAAATAATAATCAAAATTCAATATATAATCTTAAACACTAAACAAAACAAATAATATTAACAAAATAATTACAACTTAAAATTTAAAACTTTTTAGTTAAAAAGTCGACCCGCGGTGTACCGCGGGTTAAAATCTAGTACAAAATTCATAAATAAATGAATAGATAAATATTTTCAATAACTAAACTTAATATGTGTTATTCATTCATTTATTTTTAATAACCAAAATTTGCCTTAAGAAGTTGAATAAACTGAGAATCAAAAATAAACTGTCATGTGCCAATCACCCTCTAGATGGTAATAATATCAAAAATATTAAAATTGATCTCTATTTCTTTGCTAAAAACAAGAAAAATATTATAATATATTGATTTCGCCAATAGAAATTGTATTTGATAATAAGATTCTCAACTTAAATTAAAATAGATTTATTAATAGTATACTCGTAAGATACCTTATGGGTATCCCACTAATTAGGGGTACCTTATCTCTATTTCAGATGATAACTTCCTAAAAGTCCAACCGTTCTACCTTCTGTACATTTAGAGACCGACCGGTAGCGATAATTACTTTTAGTAGTAGAAACTTTAACTTTAAAAAAATTATTAAAGAGAATTTGACTGTAAAAATTTTAGATGTAGAAACTTTGGCTTTGAATGGTAACCCATTATTAAAATGGTACATGGTTTACAACTTTGACAGTTACCGAACACAAAAGTTTTATCAAAAACATTACTAACAATTTTACTCTCAGCTTTTTTTGTACAGTTTTTTTTGTACAACTCTTTCCTACAGTTTTGCACTATTCCGATAAAGCTTACAGCTCCAGCTAACATCTAAAAAATTTGTACAGCTTTTGGTTACCAATCAGACCCTTTGACTGTTAAAATCTGATTGGTAACACAAAGCTGTCAAACTGTATAAGATGTGATTGTTATTTTATTATTATATATTAATAATAAATATAAATTATGTTAGAATTGAATTATTAATGGAAATTTTTATAAAAAAATACAAAATTCATAAATAAATTAATAGATAAATATTTTCAATAACTAAACTTAATATGTGTTATTCATTCATTTATTTTTAATAACCAAAATTTGCCTTAAGTTGAATAAACTGAGAATCAAAAATAAACTGTCATTTGCCAATCACCCTCTAGATGGTAATAATATCAAAAATATTAAGATTGATCTCTATTTCTTTGCTAAAAACAAGAAAAATATTATAATATATTGATTTCGCCAATAGAAATTGTATTTGATAATAAGATTCTCAACTTAAATTAAAATAGATTTATTAATAGTATACTCGTAAGATACCTTATGGGTATCCCACTGATGGAGATGTGTTGAACTTTTGGTGAGGTGTTCTCTTTCTCGACCTTAACTCTCAGTTTCTCTCTCTTTTGTTTCTCTGTTTTAACAAAGACAAAGAGAACATCAATCTCTCTTTATTCTCTTGTTCTTGTTTTAGTTCTTAGATTGAACACAAAACGTTTTGTAACTAAGAGAGAAGAAAGAACTCTTTTAATTGTCTACATTTTTATTATCAGATCCAAGGATTGATTGTTGCAAATTCACACACACATACATATAGTGGTCTTTTACCACTTGATACACATTCACACACTAAACATTCTAGCGTTAACTACTCCCACTTAGACATGGTTATTCCTAGGTACTAGACTAAAACCACAAGGTTAACTACCTTACAAACAACTCTAACAACCACTTAGCCCTTAGCTAAACTTAGACTAACAAAAGCACACTTCCTTTTGTTTGGGCCTTAACCAAAAACACAGCCAATTAGTCTTCTAGGACCAAACCACACAAAGCCCAATTACCTTCTACTTGTTGACTTTGCTTCTTCTCCTTTTGTCGTTGACTCTCTTCACGACACACTTCTTCTTCGTTGTGCTTTTCTCTTCTTTTTTTTTTATCTTCTTCTCACTGATTAAAGCTTTTCTTTGTGGCAGATTCAATCAAGGAATTCAACTTCAAAAAGATGCTCTAACAGAAATATCAAAGTATCTGATACCTTTTTCAAATTGAATAATAACATACATTTCCACGAAATAAATATATCAAAAGGTCTTCAACAATGTATAAAAAAAATCACCCAATTTTCTAGGTATAATAAAAATCATACATATAGTGAGTAAATGATCAATGTTAATGAATCACTTTCACTGTAAACGTACCCAATGAAACACCTTCACTCGGTATATACCACGAAAACCATATAATAACCTGAGTCCTGCTAAACCCAATCCTAAAAGACAAGACATGATCAAGAACCAAAAGCCTTTGATGCATCGAGAAAGAATGTATAGTAAACGAAGGAAACAACATCGTCACTTTAACCAGACTTTTAACTCTTCCGGTTACAGTAAACCTCAGCCTCAAGATTCTACCGTAATTTATCGTTGAAAGTGACCTAGGATCCATAAGACTCGAGTACTGAGACTCCAAATACGAAGGCGAAAAAGCCTCTAAACTCAGCTCCGCCGATGAAATTGTAAAACGCTATTGGTTCGTCACTGTCTCAACCATGCACGCTCCTCCGATCTGTTCGTTTTAAATGAATGTTCCGTAAAAAAGAAGATACACGTAGATGTCTATGAATACAACTATACAAGAAATGGACCAATAAGAATCGAAAACAAAGATCGCCACGTATGCTTAATCTTTTATCCTCAATCAAATCTGGACCGTTGAACATACCTTTAATCGCACGTCTATCAACTCCTCTCCCGTTAATCTCCCAAAATTAACCGACCTAATGATTCACCTCCTCACTATAAATTCACTAATCTGTTTTACTTTTCTCTTAAGTTAAAACACAGCAACATTCAAAAGCTTTTAGCGATTCTTTCTCTCTGATTCAAATCTTCATCGTTCTTGAAGAAGCCATGGCTCGTACGAAGCAAACCGCGAGAAAATCACACGGAGGAAAAGCTCCAAGGAAGCTGCTCGCTACCAAGGTTTTAAATTGATTGATTGTGTAATCCTAACATAGGCGGCGAGGAAATCTGCGCCGAGTACCGGTGGAGTCAAGAAACCTCACCGTTACCGTCCTGGAACCGTCGCTCTTCGGTAAGTTTCATGATTTCTTCATAATCACGTACAATCTTTTTTTTTCTGACGAATTCTTGTTTGATGAATCAGTGAGATTCGTAAATACCAGAAGAGCACAGAGTTGTTAATCCGTAAACTTCCATTTCAGCGTCTTGTTCGTGAAATCGCCCAAGATTTCAAGGTAATGTTTTGTATTTCAATCAGCGAAACCCTAGATTTTGATTAAGAATATTTATCTTTGATTATAATTGGTTCGTTTTTGGTAATGTAGACGGATCTGAGATTCCAGAGCCACGCAGTGTTAGCGCTTCAAGAAGCTGCGGAGGCATATTTGGTGGGTTTGTTTGAAGATACAAATCTGTGTGCCATTCATGCAAAGAGGGTTACGATAATGCCTAAAGATGTTCAATTGGCAAGAAGGATTCGTGGAGAGCGTGCTTAGTCTATTAGGGTTTTGGATTGTTTCTGCTTTATCTACTTTTAACAAAAAATACATTATGTTAAACTCTCTTTGAGAGATGAATTGGTTATGGATGATTCATTATTATTGTTTTTTATATTGGACTAGATTTTAACACGCGGTACACCGCGGGACTATAATTTTTTTGAAAATTATCTATTGTTTTGTTTGATTTTAATGTACTTATATATATATATATTATCCCGCATTAAACCCGCGGGTCGATTTTTTGATAACTAAAATTTGAAATTTTAAGTTGAAATTATTTTGTTAATATTATTTGTTTTTGTTTAGCATTTATTGTATTTTGATAGTTA